TGGGGTGTTGGTGGGTGCGGATATGGATGTGAGTGTGGGTGGGTGGGTGAGGTGTTGATGGGTGTGGGGAGATTTCGTGTGGGTGTGAAGAGGATGCTCACACCCGCACCCTTTTGTACTGATCATCAAGAAGATTTATTATATTCGAGTCAAACGAAAGATCTCACCGCCAAACTAACAATTTTAAAATATTACGTGCCCATAGCGTACCCAGAACAAGTGACTTATATTTCAAGATACGTATGTGAAATCTAAATATAAAGATGAATAAGGATAGACTTTCTCCCCTGTTATAAGGACAAAAAATGGCGTTTCTCGGGTCCTTATAACAGAGAGCCCCTCGAAACCTCTTAATCGGTCCCAACAACATTATGTTTTCTTCTTAAAATAGGGAAGAAAACCTTTCCTGATTCATTTTTATACTTAGATTTCATGTACCTTTAAATATAAGTAACTCGCTCTAGGTACACTATGGACACGTACTATTTTAAATTTGTTAGTTTGGCAGTGAGAGCTTTCATTTGATCCGCATATGATCAATCTTCTTGATGATCAGTACAAAAGGTTCCATTGTAAGTTGTTGTTTGTCTGAAGCCAAAGTCGTTATCATGTTTAAATTAGTTAAACACTAATTGTTTTTCTTTTCTACAAAGCAATAACTCAATTTTGTATAAGTTAGTGAACAATACAAAAATATAAAAGATCTATTATATACTATCATGAAGTAAGGAGCAAGATGGAAATAAGAAATTAGAGAAAATATGTTGAACATCATTCATTTACAATATTCAAACGAATAAATAATATAAAAAGGTATAGAATTCTAATCAAAATAAAAACATTCTATTTGATTAAGATGATATGAAGAAAAGGCAACAATTGAAGTTCTTCGTTCAGCTCCAAATTATAAATAATACTTACTGGATGAAAATATTCATTCGAGTAATGAAGAAACTACTAACATAATTACAAACTTAAACAATATGGAAACAGCGTTGGAACCGTTTTTTATCTATCACATCAACTCGAATCCACTGCACTTTCTATATCTTCTCACATTGATACCAATTTTGATTAAAATTATTTCACATGTTATTTAACTTATTTTCTTCCAAGATTATATTTCTAAATCAAATTTATATGGTAAGTTTTCTCCAAATGTTATTTTTTTTGTAAAGTACCTATTGCCTATCCATGATCAACTGCTATTGCTTTAAACTTTTTTATTTCATGAATAAGACAAAATAAAGTCATTGACAAGAACAATGAAATGAAGAACGAACAAAAATATCTGACTTTATCATCAATATACCAGGTGGACCAAAAGTAACATAAGAACTGAAGAAAGATTGAACATCTCCATTACGACTCGACCAAACGGGATCATTTTTTTAATCAAGGATAGAAGCATGTTCACACTTCAAATCCATATGGACAAGGTTAGTGAGAACCTTTATTAAATATATGTTTTTCTTTTCCTACCTGTGAAAAAGTAAAATTTTCTTGTTGAGGTTGATAGCTATACTTAACAAAGATTCTCACTAACCTTGTCCGTATGGATTTGGAGTGTGAACATGCTTCTATCCTTGATAAAAAAATGACCCTGTTTTGTCGAGCCGTAATGGAGATATTCAATCTTTCTTCAGTTGTTATGTTACTTTTGATCCACCTGGTATATTTGTTTGCACTTTCTCTTCAGTATTTCATATTTTAATGCATAAAAAAAAGTCTTATTTTTTGGAGATCTTTGCTTGTTGTAAATAATTTGTCTTTTTCTTCGTGTCCATTATTGTCGACCAGAACGTTGCCACTATGGCGCAAACAAACGACAGCATTCCGAAAGCTGTTGACGCTATCGCAATTCGGTTCGACCTTGTCCAATTTGAAATTGCTTCTGTTCGATCTTTCTAGGAGAAAAAAACGAATTATAAATATTTAACAACACAAAAATAATAAGAAAAATAAAGATCTTTCAAGAAAAAACGGCTCGTATGTGCAATGGTCACAGGATCATATGTGAAATTAGATACCATTCGATAGAATTCATTCAGTACTTGTGAAATATATTTGATAACTGACAATCATTCTCTGAAACTGAATTAGATGTAATAGTAAAAATCTTCAAAAGATGTTTTGGGTTTTTTCTCGAACGATAATTTGAAACAATCAGGAAACAAATACTACCAGATAAGCAATTTAATATGTAGTATCCATCTTCGACAGCAATTCCATATGCTTGATTCAAATGTATTCCCATGTGATGAAAACCGGCGGTTAACCGGAGAGAACCGCGGTTTATCGCTAAAATTAATCCGGTTTTTATGACATGAGTTCTTTCGCCATCTCTAGAATTGCTAGGTAAAATATAAACAAATAACCTTATAAAATTCATTCATTCCAAAACATCCACTGATTAAAAATCAATAAATGGCTTACGTTATTTTTTCGTTTTGTTTACTTAAAAGAAATAAACCAACAGCATTTGGATCCATAGTTTTAAGATCACTTCATAAAACATATGGTAAATAATAGTAAAAGTAGAATTGAAAATATGATGGTATTTCCACATATTCTTTTCTATCATCATTTATATATACTTTAATATGACGCATTTTTACTTTCGAGTGACAATAGAAATACTAATATTTAAACAAGACTTTTTATCTACAATGAATAATCGATTAGAATCGACATATTTGTATATATATCTATATAGTAATTATAACGCCATCTAATCGAGATAGCATCAGATTATTTTTGTTTGATTTACATTCTGATTTATAAATTTCAAAATTAAAAAGATAATAAAAGAAAGATTTCTCATTACAATCCTCCGGTCTAACTTGAGCTACCATCAGGCAATTTCATTTATTTTAACAATTCTATACTGTAAGTGAGTCTTCAACTCACGTTATCCTGCTTTTCTACTTCTACAATGCTCACATTACCTCTAATACTATCATATTCTGCCTTCATTGCTCAATAGAGATGTCACTAAATGTCAGCTATAACTCATCCGTGCATCTGAATATCAATTTAGTATTCCATTAGTAAGTCATTCAATCATCGCATCCCTCTTCCTCGTTCATGTCTAAATGATCTATTGTATTTTGAAATAATATTTTAGTAAACCGCGAAAGTCAAACCTTTTATGCGGTTTCTTCAAATCTGCAAAAACCACTGTATTTTCACAACGCGGTTTGCAGCAGTTTCAACAAAACCGCATAAAAGGTTTGACTTTCGTGGTTTCAAAAACCAGTGAAAACCACAGTTTTTCTAAGAATAACTGAGACGGAAATCCTGGTTCAGTATGCTTGCACCTATCTGAACTTTTCGCAAAGTTCAGGTGAGCTACCCTTCGAGAGGCGCTGTAGTGAACCTTTTACAGTTCCACTGCCGCAAAGTTGCTTTGCAGTAAGGCATTGAATAAGAAATATCCTTCGAAATTTCTGAAAAATAGTGGGGCACGATATCCTCCTTGTCCTTACACATTCTCTCATATTTAAATATATACTATGGATACCGCAGTATTCCAAGTTGATGTAGGGCACGATGACGTGGGGAAACATTGAAAGTCAATATCTCAACTTAGTAGAATCTCAAAGAGGCAAAGTATCAAAGGTAAAACGTCTAAACTCAAAAAGGAGAAGAAGAAAATATCGAAAGTAGAAAACGCAAACAACGTCTAATACGAACTAAAATGTATGGTTCATACACATGACTTATCTGTTCAGCTAAGAAATTGAGTTAGGATATTAGTGGGTACCTTCTATTCGCTCACATGCACATTAACCCCCACGTTCACACGTTCATACCCAAATCCACACTCTAGAAACATGGATACACTCAAAAGTAAAACAAAATCGACAACGAAGGCCTCATGTAAGATCAACTTAAAACCCTTTCAGCTTTACTCGATGAGTTGGAAATCGATACTGAACAATATTTACAAGGATTGAATTTCTGGCTCGCAAAAGATATTGAGAATAATGAATAATTTCATCATTTTATGCCGATTTGAAAATCTTGTCAGTGTGCGTGAATCATAAAATTAATAAATTTTTCAGCTGTCACTCTTTTCTTGAGCGTAACAAGCATAAAAGATTCCATTTTCTTTCACTAACAGAAGTAAATTAATAAACAATTCAGTATTGCAAACTTCTCGAAGGTCTTATATAATATACAATGTTATCGACATGCTTGTATTTTCAGAATCTGCACTTTTAAGATTTGTTTTTCATCGTATGAATTGTGGAGAATTTGTTCTTCAACATTTTAATTTTCGATGTCTTGCAACTTTTCCAAGACCACCATATGAAGTACAGTGATTTTTGAAACCGGTCGACATGCGATATTCAATACTGCGGTTTTTCAAACCGATAGACACCTCAATATTCAGTACCGCAATCACAAATATATGTAGCGCGGTTATCAAAAGTAAGACTGCGGTGGACTCGAAAAAACCGCAGTTTATGGCGGTTTTTCGGTAAATTTATTCCGTGTGAGTACTAAAGATATTACCATTTATGAACTTGCACGATTACAAATACAACCTCCCTTGTTGACTCTGTCGAGCGAACTTCTCGGTGAGTTCCTTGAAAAATGCGAAATCTCCGAAGTATTTTGTTTTTGAAGAGAGCTGACGAGGACTCCGTTTGTATCCGTATTTCGCCGTATATAGACTCTGACTTCGTATTCCTCGATCTGTTTTCTTTTAATTACTGTGAGAAGTAACTGCCGTTATAAATATACATATAAATGAGTGGTTCGGTTTTTCATTGAATAAAAAGAATAAAGATAATATTGAAATAAAATATTTAATAGATCATATAAAGTTAAAAGAAGAAAAAAGAAAAAAGAAGAAACTAAGAGATAAATATGGTTGGACAGTTGCATCAGAAATTCGATGATGAATAAATAAATTGTTTATTGACTGATTGATTTTTATTAGCTGATATTGATCGAGCTAAATTGGCTTCAAGTCTTGAACGTATTAATTGATAAATGAGTGCAGATTTTGTTAATGTCGGTGTCATATCTGTTTGATTAAATAGATGATTATATTCAAATGAATTGAAATCTTTTATCATTGATGCTGAATTAGGTCGATTTATATTTGATTTTCTTGATTTAAAAATTTGTGTTCGAATTCTATTTGTTGTTTTTGATGATTTGGATAATGCATTTTTATCTTGTTGTTTAAAAAAAGTGTCTTAAACAAACATAGAAAAACAAGAACAAAGCTTCTATTAAAAACAAAAAAAAACTTGTCAGAAAAAAAAAAAGGCAAGACTCTAACCAATTGTTGTTGTATGAAGCAAAGCAACTTGTCGAGCATTAATGATTGAATTATAATGATTATAGGTTGATGATGCAACTGTCGAATATCCCTATGTTTGAAGAGGTTGAATAGATTTATTTCGAGTCGAACATTTTGAAATAAGTACAAGACTTTTTGAACCTCCAATTGAAAGACGATTCTTTTGTATATCATCTAAATTGTCCCATTCTTCAGCAATAACAGTTGCTGGTTTTAATATTTCAAAATTAGTTCGATATCTTTGAATTGTTTGATATTTCATCATCATTGAATCTTTTTCATATAATGATGAATTATTTATTTTCAATGGTGTTGATAATCTATCATTGTAACACATTGAATTAGGACGTTCACGTTCATCTCTTTGACGTGTTTGATATGATAATATTGGTTTTTCTATAGAAGATGTTTGTTGTTCATTTTGTTTTTGAATATTTTTAGTTGAATTAATTGTATTTGAACGTGAAAGAAGATTATTTACTGGTGATATTCGACCTTTTCGTATATTTGGTAAAGATGAAATAGCACGTTTTTGTTCAATATAAGGTAATGAACCTTTTCTTTCTAATTCATTATAAATACATTTAAATCCTTTTAAAGATTTTAATGGAAATATTTTTTGACCATGACGAATTTTTTCAAAACATTCAATTGATAATACTTTTAAGAAGAAAATAAAATAAAATAATAAATAAAATAATAGAAAACAAAAAACTTACAAATAGATTCTTTAACAACAGGTGGAATAGCTTGAACAAGTGTATTTGTATTTGTTGTTAATGCTGGATTAACATTTATTTCAATTAACCAAACTTTCATATCTTGATCAATCATAAAATCATAACCATATAAACCAAAACAACCAACACGTCTTTTTAATCTCATTCGAATACTTTCAATTACATTTAACATTATACGTTGAATCATTTTCTTTAACAAACAATTTTTTTAATTATTTATTTATTAATTATTTATTTATTAATTACTTACAGGTAACACATTTAAAACCCAATCTTGTTCAAGATTTTTACTTGAAGCAACATTTTTATTAATATAATCACTAAATATGTTTAATATTCGTTATAATTAAATAAAAAAAAAAACTAAAAATACTTGAATTGTTCCATAGTCCATGCTGTATCTTCTTTTATATCATAATATTTTGGATCTTTTTTTTGCATATACTTATTTAATTAAATAAAATAAATAAAAAGAAAAGAAAAAGAAAAAGAAAAAACCTGATTCGTAAGATGTGTAAGAAGATTTTCATCATTATTATCAAAATCAAAGATTGAAAGTCTAATATAACCGGAATGATAAAGAGCAATAAGTGGTTTAACAGTTGATATAAGCATATAACATCGAATATCAAATTTTTTTCCTTGAACTAATAATGGATTCATAATATAACTATTTTAAATAAATAAATAAATATTCTGTTTAAATAAAAATAAATAAAACAAACCGTTGAATAATTCTTTTCATTGGTTTAATTGATATTTGTTTTTTCTTATCTAAAGCATCGATTTCCGAAAATTTTTCTTTTAATTCATCTATATCTCGTACAAGATAAATTCCTTTTCCTATTTACAATTTAAAAATCATAAAATATTATTTTGTTTATTAGAATTTAAATCAAATAAACCTTGATTAAGTCCGTTTGGTTTACAAATCCAAACATCACCGGCTGAAAGCAAAAAAAAAATGTATTGAAAAAAACAAACGAAAACGAAAAGAAGAATTCGAATATACAAACGTTTATGTGTATTAAAAAAAGTATCTCGATCATATTTTTCATCTAGTTTAAATGTTTCCGGAACAAATTGATTTAATGGTAAAAAATGTGATGGACGTTTAAACATATTTATTGAAATTTTTTCATATGTTTGTAATGATTGACATAATTGAATTTTTGTTGTAAAATAATCTTCACCTTGTATATGATTAACCATTTGTTCACCATCTTTAAATAAATTCCAATTAATAGATTGTATAGTTTGAACCCATTTTATTTTAAAATCATCTGTTTTTTCATATTGACGTTCATAACCAATTGATGTTAAAATATTTTCAATTCTATTAAGAATAAAACAAAAATATTAATTTAGTAAATGTTTTATTGTTTACGAATAAAATTCTATACAAATCAGCATTATTTCCAGGTCCAATATAACATTTAAATACTGGTTCAGGATAAAGACTATTTTCTTTTTGAACATCACTTTTCTTTATATTATTTATTACAACATTTGATTTATCTTCATTCATCTAAATTATATTTAGATTTATATATGAAAATAAATCTAAATTTAATAATATATCACTTTTTGCTTATTCGTTGTTGTTTATATAGAAATATTCTTACAATAATTTATCAAACAAATATAAATCGAATAAAATAATATATAAAAATATTAAAAAAAGAAACGATTAATGTATATATATTGTTATTTTTGATGATAAATGATGAACAAAAAGAAAAAAAAAAGAAAAATGTCATTGTTCTGTTAAGTATAAAATAAAAAACGAGTTAAGAATGAAAAGAATTGTTGCTGCTTGCCCTTTTCCCTTTTGGTTTCTTTGGCATCCGTTTCAAGAACATACTATTCATCATCAATTGTTCTACCCTTTTTTTTTTTTTTTTTTTTTCTTCATTTGATCACCAACAATAAATATTCATGTCAATAACAACCAACATTTTTTTACTTGCTTTTCTTTTCTTTTTTTGTTTAATTTTTTATGCTAATTTAACTTTTGAATGAAATTTCATTTCTTAAACAAACCAATTCACTTTTTATATTATTTATTTATTTATTTATTAGAATAAAAATTGTTGATTTTATCTTTAAATAAAATTCTTTATTATATATTCGATAGAAATTGAATATTAATATTAGACGAATATATTTACATATAGATATATATTATTCAAAATTATTTATTAATCAAATAGAATTCTTAAATTATTATAAAACAATTTCAATAGATAATTATTAAAATTATTTTCTAAACAGTAATAAAAAACTTAAATAAACATAAAAGATAATATATGAACAAATAATTATATTCGATTTAGATTTTTACCATATTTATTCTTAATAATATAACTATATATATATTAATATTATATTATATGTTAGATTTAATTTTTTTTGATTATTATTAGATAAAATCATCTTAATTAAATATTTTTTTTAATACTATCTCGCGAATAAAAAATCTAAATAATATAATATTATTTTCTTAAATAAATAAAGATGGATAAAGGTAACACACGCCCTCTATTATCTCTATTATATTATTCGTCCCCTATATAAACATTAAAATAAATCTGATTGGTTAACATTTATTTATCTTTGTTCCTCATCTCATATTCAACTTCAACTTGAGTTAATCAATCAAACAAATCAATTTATTTTATATTAGAAATCAATGAGAAATTTCTAAACTATTTTCGATAAAAGAAAAAGAAAATAATAAGATAATTCAATTAATTGTATTAAACAAAACTTAATCTATTGTTTATACATAAATAAATCTTAATAATAAATAGTAAATAATATTTTGTTAAATAGATATAAAAAAAAGAAAAATGTCAAAATGTGATTATTGTTGTATTCGTCCATCATCATTAATAATAAATTGTTTAAAATGTAGTCAATATAGTCAAATAAATATTTGTTTTAAATGTTCAATTAATGTTAATCAATTACGAGAACATGCTAAACATCATCCATTATCAACATATAAGGTAACAATAAAAGAAAATAAATAAATAAATATTAGTTTTTTTGTTAATATTTTTTATTTTAAAAACACAAAAAAGTTAAATGATATAGGATTAGATGATAATTGTATAAGTGAATGGTTATCAAATGATGAAATAAATTTAATTGAAATGATTGAATCATGTGGATTAGGAAATTGGAATGATATATCTATTAAAATGTCTAGAAATTCATTTGATTGTCAAAATCATTTTGAAGATATTTATTTATCAGGTCAAACAAGTCCATATTATATTTATTTTCAATCATTTAAAAATACAAAAAAATTATATGGAGAAAATCATATTAATGGAAATAATATTCAAATAAAATATTTAATTTATCCTCCTATGTTAATTGATAGTGAACAACAAAAATTATTAACTTATTTACCATATAGAGATGAATATGAAAGAGAATATTTAAATCAAGCAGAAAATCGTTTACCTATTTTAAATAATGATCAACAATTAAATCAAAATAATAATCATGAACAACAACAACAACCACAATCCCAATCACCAGATAATAGTTCAACATTATTATTACATAATGCTAAATTATCACTTTTACGTTCTTATGGAGAAATTTTAAGAAGAAGATTACAATTAAAAGATTTTATACGAGATTATGCTATTGGATTTAATTATTCACCTGATCAAGAGTTTAATTTAATTTAATTTAATTTAATTTATTCTAATTTAATTTATTTTATTTTAGAATGGATCTTCATCAAATAAGTCGTTTTCTTTCTGCTGATCAATATGAAAGACTTATTTTTAATCATCGACGTTAGTTTTTGTTTTTTTTTAATTTAATTATTATTTTATTAATTAACAATATTATTTAGAGAAAACTAATTCATTCATTTAAGAATTTATCTTAAATATATATATAGAAATAATTATTGAAAAAAATATTTTGTTTTTTGTTTTAATAGGTATTAAAAGTTTATTAGAAGAAATTGGTTGTTCAACATCATCAAATAGAGATAATGATCTATCTCAATCAAGTATTATATTTATTTTATTTTATTAAATAAATATTTAATTAATTATAAATAGGAAAAAAAACTTCATTATTGAATAGTGAAAAAGGTCGTCGTCGAGCTCCGTTAGTTAAATATTTAATTAAAAAAAAAAAGTCTATATATTAAATAACTAATAAATATATTAAAGATCAAATGTTGTTGATGAATGTTCATCAATATGTTCGAATGATTCAAATGAATCATTTCAATCAAATAGTCAATCGGAAGAATTAAATTCAAATGTAAAACGTCGTTATGTTCGTCGTGTATCATCATCATCAACAAATACATCTTCGAAAACAACAAATACTAAAGAACCACTTTATAAACGAAGAAGATTTATTCAATCAGATAATCATGTTTAAAACAATTTTATTTATTTTTTTCTTTTATTTATTATTTATTATTTTTGTTAGAATTCATCTCAATCTCAAAGAATAAAACGTTCAACTGGATATAATTTAACAACATCTGAGTAAACAAAAACAAAAATTTTTTCCTTTTTATATTAATAAATAATAAAAAGTAAAATTTAGTATAAGTTGGGATTCAACTGATGATGAAATAAATCATTTATCAGATAATAATTATTCTCAATATGATAAATCTAGTGTTGCTTCAAGAACACGAAGTCATACACCACCACATTATACAAATGATAAAAGACAAACAGTAAACTTTTTTTTCTTTTTATTATTAAAAACAAAAACACAACAATAAACAATTTATTTTTTATTAAGAGAAATTCTCCAAATGGAAAACGATCAACAAATAATATAAATGGTTTATCAAAGTAATTAGACAAATAATAATATAAAATAACTAATAATTAATATTATATTTAGGATAAATATGGTTGATGGATCAGATCAATCAACATCAACACCAAAAATCAATCGAATGTTAACAAGACATCAACTTGTTGTACAACAAACATCACCAAATAAAAAACGAAAAATAAATTCAAATTCAATTGATGATCAACTTATTATTAATTAACTCAAGCCTTTTTTTTTCTTTCTCATTGATCTATTTGAAAATATTTCATTTAATAAACATTAACATTTAATTATGCCTCTACAATTAAATATATCTATTTATTCAATAACATTTTTCTTTTTTTATTTATTAAACATTAGTCTTTATTTCATTTCATTTTATAATCAAATTAAAGTTCAAGATAGAATATTAACTTCATTGAGATAAAAAAACAGAATAAAGATTAACAATTAAAATTATATATGAAATAATTATTTATTATTTTGAAAATATTTATATAGATAAATAACAATTGAATATAAACATATTTTATATTTAAATTGAAACTATCTTTCTTTCTTTTTTTTAATCTTGTCAAAGATTAGAAAATGAGATTTATTTTAAATCAACTTATCCGTTTTCTTTTTTCGTATTCATTTTATTTATTTAATAGGTTAACTGCTTTTTTTATCTTTTATTAATTGAGATTTAATTAAAATGAGTTCGATCAAGCGAGAATAGATACGAAATTAAAGTAGTACGATGTGAAAATGAACTATGCTACTTTATTCGTATTTAAATCATATTTCTAACTAGTTAAAATCTCCTTTGTTTTTCTCGTCAAGTTAAAGCATTTTTAGAATTCATACCTCGAATTTTGCATTTTCTAATATATTGCAAAAAGTATTTTCTGTTTTTAAAGTCTCATTTAGTTGAATATAGCCGTTCTAGAAACGATGAAACTGATTCGAGAGATTGATATATGTCAAATCTTGAAATGATTATTTGTTTGAGAAGAATATAATAAAATATTATTTTTCTAATAATGTCTCATCTAAAATCAATCTATTCAAAATATATATGTTAACCATTCAATAACTATATCTAACATATCAACAGGAATCAAATTCTTTTTACTCTTCTTTATTCGTATGATCGATCGAATAATCACAGAGAAAAAAAAAGACATATGAGAATATCAAATCAACTTCTCTTTTCGAAAAAAGACTTTCGTCAATTATATCGAAGTTATTCTAATCGTTGTTATTTGTAATTGATATGTACCTATATATAAATAATATTGTTTATTTAATGCAAAAAAAGATAAATGCTAGTTTTTAATAGTCATCTCCTAGCAAGAATCAAATCGACGATAGAAATAGCTTAAATAAACTTGAAATGAAAAACTTGGTACTGACAATCAATTTTCTATTGATGATTATTTCATGTCAAATATGATTTTTTCATCATCAATCATAGATTCGATCTTTTCTTTTATATTCAACGTTGATTAGTCGGACAATCTGAAACAACACCTTGAACTGTCTAGAACACTACGAATATGTTTTGATTGTTATCTTAAACGATGAAAAATGATTGCCATCTTTTATCATTTTTCAAACATTTTTTCTCAGCTCATATTATCAACTATTTCTCATTCGAACGTAAACAGTGCTATTTATGGTCATTTCAGTGAAAAACTCTTGTACAGC